TTAGCAGAAATATATAAAATTCATATTTGTAAAAAAAAAAAATTAAATCTATATTTTAATATATTAAACTTTTCTTCCTCTATTGCACAAATATAAGAAATCAATGCAAATTCAATAACGAATCAGTGAATAAAAACAGATGTATTTTTTTTTATTTTAAGCCGACTAATTAAGTCATTATTTACGAATACCACAATTCTATGGCTGAAACGGTTCACCTAAATCCATTGCTTAGAAAAAGAACTATTACAGACACAGGTAGCAAATTCAAGGCTTATTGTACCTGGCCGTAACTAAAGTCACCAGTCAATCACGGGTAAGACAAACACAAGGGAAGTAGTTTTTTCTTTACCCATATATTCCTTCACCAACGTATGTACTGGATTTACAAAGTTAAATGAGCAGCATGACCATAATAAACCAGAGAGAAAAGAGCAACTCATAACAGAAGGTTTATATCTTTAGATAGAAGAGTATGAGTGTACGAGACCAGCAAGACCGGCTTGAGTGAGCGTCTGACCTGCAGCTTCACCACCGGGTCACCGTGACAATGCCAGCTCTCTTCCTATTGGCTGATTGACCTGGAAAGTTAATATAGCAGTGAGGCCCCAGGACTACTGTAATGTGAACTTGCCAGTTCGCTGGCCGAAAGGGAATGCCAGTGGGTGTGTGATGAACGCTAGATAAATTGTAAGTACGCAGCACACTCCGCAGGAACTTTATAAGGACGTTTCAGTCTGTCTTGAAGCATTATCTATTGTTTTCCGGCCTTCTCTACTTTTCTCACCCCCAATTATAATTTGACAATGTTACAGAAAGAAACGAAACGTTGTCATAAGGTATTTCTTCCAAGTGCGGGTTTTTAGTGAGTCAATATTTATTTTGAGCAGATCTGTAAGACACGTCAGATGACTATTTTTGTGCCAATAGAAAGAAATACATCCAAGTGCATGTTATAACCTCCCTCAGGACACAAATGTCCCATGACATTTTCCTCATGACACATAGCTATACCATGATCTTTTCCCCGTGATGCATAGCCATGATTTATTTCTCCCACAGCCATTCCGTTATCTCTTTCTCAAGACAAATATCCTATCAACTCTCCCTACCAGGCCAGGCAGCCCCTCACCCTGGGTTACCCCACGATACAAGCAATCATATAAATATGTTTCTCGTCTGATGACTAAGATACATCACTTTATTATTATTATTATTATTATTATTATTATTATTATTATTATTATTATTATTATTATTATTATTATTATTATTATTATTATTATTATCATTATTATTCAGAAAAGACGCTAAATATTCATGTGCTACTGCGACAAAACTAGAAGTCTCCGTACTGAGATAAGTTTACTGACACAGGTACTCAGACCTAAACTTATCTTCAAGAACTCGTATCTCACACCCTGACTGATAAGCCAGCTCCTGCCTGCCACAGTGCTCCTCTGTTCCCCAGTAACAGTTTCTCTGTCCTGCCTGCCACAGTGCTCCTCTGTTCCCCAGTAACAGTTTCTCTGTCCTGCCTGCCACAGTGCTCCTCTGTTCCCCAGTAACAGTTTCTCTGTCCCGTCGTCTCTAACCTGTCTCTGCACTGCGATATCTGTTAGGTTACTTGTTCTCTTAATTTTCACAATGAATGCATTATTGTTCGTCTTATTTTTTCCATTTTTAATTATTAATAAATTTCAATTAAAACATTAATTATATTCATAACATTACTTTTTTTTTTCAAAACTCAGCTTATTACAGTCATAGGAGAGCGTTAAACTCGCGTGGGTCATACAGCCCCTGGAGGAATATGAGGCAATCAGTTTCGTGATGAGAATAGGAACTACCTACATCGGTGTAGTACTCTGTTTAAGAAAATGTAATTGATAAATAATGCTAGATAAATAATATAAAATGGGATAATATCAGTTATCCTCATACCAAATTATGTTTTTTCTTGTAAATCTTTTTTTTTGGGAAAAAATATGTATCAGAAATGACAGTTCAATATCTAAATGTTTTTGTTGATGTATGTGTAGAGCTCTGCTAATATTATTTCGTTTACAGTCTCAAGTTAATTACACGTATCTTCAGTGGGAAAAAATAACATATTAGAATTTACTGATGAAAGGTCAATGAAATTTTTTAATTTTTCTTCACTAAATATTTGAAAAACCAGATGCATTTTGGTCCCTGCGTTAACCAAGAAAGGTTATCCCTCTATGTTGACGAACTCGGAAAGATCAATCGAGAGTGTGACATAGTTTCATAATGCTTTTAAACATTAGCAATGAAGATCCTAAGCAAATCGGACATGGTATACACAAGTAATCACAAGTGCCCTAATGTCTACTGTTTTCAATAAAAATGGCAAGCTAGGACATACACAGCTATAAACTAATTCAAATCTTCCACTAAGAAACATCAGCTTTGAAGCGACACTGAAGAGGAATTCTCTGGTTATCAAAGAGGGACCAATACCTTCAAAAAAAAAAATAACTAAAAATTAACTAAATTAACCCAAAATCAAGGCGATGCTTATTAAAACTAAATTAACCCAAAATCAAGGCACTATAAGTTGAAAAGTAGACCAGAAGAGGCATTCTCTAGTTATTTCACAGAATCCATTACACAACTTATAGCAAACAAATTTCCCATGTTTTTTCAGAAGATGAATTAGACATAAATGATTGATGCTGTTCACAATAGTTGTATTTTAACCAAAGGAAAGCGTAAGCTTAATCAGTAGGAGTCACACAGTACATATGGAATATAATACATTCTGATTCGATCCAAGAAAGAGAAGGATAAGTAAAGGTCCTTGGATGAAGAGCCCCTCATTAGCATCAAGGCAAAATAAGGCAAAAATGTTTAATAGTAATATTCCACTTTTACATTAATTGTGGCAAAATATCATCAACAAGATCCATTAACTACAACAGTCATCTTCTAAGGAGGGGACAAGAATGCTGACATTTTTAACCTATTAGAATCTCTTGTTATAAGAACATAAGAACGTAAGAAAGAAGAAACACTGCAACAGGCCTACTGACCCATGCGGAGCAGGTCCATGTCCCCCCTTCCCCCCCGGATTAGACTAATGACCCACCCAGTCTGGTCATCTCCACTCAAGGATAGAGCACTGTACCAGACCCAGCAGCACAAGCTAGTCAGGTCCAACTCACACCCACCCACACCCACTCATGTATTTATCTAACATATTTTTAAAACTATACAACCTTTTAGTCTGAATAACTGTACTCGGGAGTTTGTTCCACTCATCCACAACTCTATTACCAAACCAGTGCTTTCCTGTATCCTTCCTGAATCTGAGTTTTTCCAACTTGAAACCATTGCTGCGAGTCCTGTCTTGGTTGGAAATTTTCAGCACGCTATTTACATTCCCTTTATTTATTCCTGTTTTCCATTTATACACCTCGATCATATCTTCCCTAATTCTACGTCTTTCGAAATAGTGCAGATTCAGGGCCCTCACTCTATCCTCATAGGGAAGATTTCTGATACATGGGATCATCTTTGTCATCCTCCTCTGTACGTTTTCCAGAGCATTTATATCCATTCTGTAATACGGTGACCAGAACTGAGCAGCATAGTCTAAATGAGGCCTAACCAAGGATATATAAAGTTGAAGAACAACCTGAGGACTTCTATTATTTATACTTCTAGGTATGAAGCCAAGAATTCTGTTAGCTTTATTGCGAACACTAATGCACTGTTGTCTTGGTTTTAGATTACTGCTAACCAGAACTCCTAAATCCTTTTCGCAATCAGTAGAGTTAAGATCTACATTATTTAGTTTATGTGTGGCATGGTTATTTAACTGTCCAACATTTAGAACTTTGCATTTGTCAATATTAAACTGCATCTGCCACTTCTCCGACCATTGCATCAGTCTATTCAAATCATCCTGGAGTGCTCTAGTGTCCTCATTAGAATGAATTGGACGGCATATTTTGGTGTCATCAGCAAATTTGCTTTGTCGCTATTTATTCCTTCATCTATGTCGTTTATGTAAACTGTGAACAACAACGCGTCCAACACTGACCCCTGAGGAACACCACATGTGACGTGCCCCCATTCTGATTTCTCCCCATTTATGCAAACTCTCTGCTGTCTATTTGTCAGCCATGCCTCTACCCAGGAAAAAAATTCTTCTCCTAATCCGTGTGCCTTAAGTTCCCTCAATAGCCTTTGGTGTGGAACTCTATCGAAAGCCTTACTGAAGTCCATATACACAATATCATATTCATTACCATGATCTACCTCCTCAAACACCTTAGTGAAAAAAGTTAGTAAATTCGTAAGACAGGAACGCCCCTTTGTAAAACCGTGTTGAGATTCATTAATCAATCTGTGCCTGTCAAGATGGCTACGAATTGCTTCGGCAATAATTGATTCCATAAATTTTCCCACTATAGAGGTAAGGCTTATTGGTCTATAGTTTGAAGCCAAGGACCTGTCACCTGCCTTGTAAATAGGAATTACATTTGCCATTTTCCACTTATCAGGCACTATGCCAGTTTGTAGTGATATGTTAAATCACCACTGGGAATATACTATGTAATATTGTCCATAGATACAGTACACTA